TGAGCTTTAATGCCTTGCAGGACTGAGGTAGGTTTCCTTAAATACCTAAAGGTTTCTTATGACTATCTGTACTATGCAAGTCACGGTGTTTTCAGGAGGGAGGCATGTTAATGCTGGTTTCCTCTGTCAAGAGTACAGGTTGAGAATGCCTCCAGTGTAGCTCTTGGGAAGCTGGTGACTGGCAGGCCCAGTTCAATGGGAATAATTTACCCAAGTCTTTTTTTTTGGTGGGGGGAGACTAGCTCATAGGAGTAGGTCCCACTTGTCCTCGTTTTACATACCACCAGCCAGGTAGCATCAGTCTGCTTCATGAAATGGTCAAGAATGAGTAGAGAAGACCTCTAAAAGTGGAAGTGTAGGAGTTAGCAGACTTCTCATAAAGTTTAAAAGGAATGACAGTGAAATAGTTTTGGAGTCACCTAGAGGAGAGATGCTTACAGCAGTTCAGGAGAGATACCCCATGTTTTCCTTCATGAGGAGGGCTCATAAGGTGATTCTGAAAGACCAGGATCATTTGTCCCTCCCCCTCTGCACCTTCAGGACCTAATGTAGTCCATCCCCAGCTACAGGGCTAGTGCTCTCTCCCCACTGTCTCAAATCCTGTGTTTGCCATTTCAATAGCTGCAATATCATCTTTGCTCCAATAATCGCAGATCTCTTATCTGGTAGGAATCATGTGTGAAAGAAAGAGGACGTTTCTGTAACTTACAAAGATCTATCATGCTCCCTGCTTTGGCCTGTGAGCTACCACCATGCACACCCCCACAGACAGACTTGGTATGCAATATACTCAACCCAATTGTCTTTATCCAAGTGGCTGAAATAGAATGAAGTTTGAATATTCTAGGCCACCTTTTGGCCTGCCTTTCTCCAACCCCCAAAAGAGTCCCTCAATGAGGTTGGCCTGGGATCACTATTAGAGGAACAAAAGAAGCATCAGGGCCAGAAATGGTCAGTCACAATTCAAAATTTCAAAATATACCTCTTATCCCTTTTGTTATGATCATTACCCCCAAAGTGGCCAAGAGTTGGAGATCCCTGTCTAGGGACAACCCTATTGAGTGACCAGCTGCCTTACTAAGAAGTATGGGTCAGAAAGAGTTAAGCAAACCTAGCTATTGCTGCTACTAACAGGGACACTATATCTTCCAAAGCTGTTTGCCATACAAACATCCTTCAAAGGGTAGTTTAGAACAAAAGAATATTTAGTGCCTCTTCTCAAAAGACATGCAGGAATGCAAGACACCATGGAGAAGTGTCTCTGAGCCCTAGTCCTCCTTTCTGTCCACACTCCCTTGTCTGTTCATGTTCTTACTGTCTTTTGCACCCACCAGAACATAAGGGCCATAAGAGCAAGGGCCATCTTATCTTGGTCTCTGCTTTTTCCCTACCTTCAAAAAACAGCATTTTGTATATAGTCAAAACTTAGTAAATATTTCTTGAAAAAGTAACTTTCTCAAAACCTGACTTGTCTTTCAATGCCCAGTGTGGGTGGCCTGTCCCTGGAGGAGTGGCAGTCTGGTAAATAGAGGTCTTGTTCCAGCATTTGGGCTGCCACAACACCCCTTCCACGTGTAGGTGGCGCTGGTCGCAGTGCCTTCTGTGCTATAGCTCTTTTTATGTATGTTTGTCTGGCTACACTGAAAACTACTTGAAGGTGGGGGTGGAGCTTCCTCATTTATTCCAACCCTCGGGGCTGGGTTCAGGGTGAGGAACAGCAGTGCAAAGTTTAAGGGCGGTTGCCAAGTTGGGGCGGGTTTGCCAGAGTGCCTCGCTCACCTCGCCCTCATCTAGCCCCGCTTATTGATTTGTACACCCTCAGAATCCACAAAAGTGGCTCTCATTTAACAGATGTTCCATCAAAGCTTGCTCCCAGAGAGTGTGTGAGACCCGCTGGCTAAGAGCCTGGTGCTCGCCCTCCACCCTCTGCTCTCCGGCCCCGCCCAGCTGGAGCAGCCGAGGCCGCCTGTGTGAGCTGCTGTAGGAGGCACTTCCACCTCCAGCTTCTAGTTGGCTTTGGTCAGTAGGGCTCTTAGTTTAAGTTGGAAAGGCAGGAGAATGAATTCGGGGCGTCTATTCCCCACCACCCCAGCTGCAAGGTTACCCTGGATTGGCCACATCCTCCAGCACAGACGCCCAGGGGCAGAGGCCAATCCGTCTTCCCCTGGCTCCCGGGGGCCTGCGGTGGTTCCCTCAACTCTGTCTGTTTTGTTTTACATGATTCTTTTATTAAAACCCTTTCAATTAATTCATTTGAGTGTTTTTTTTTTTTTTTTTCTTTTGGGACCTTTAAGGAATCCCATATTGGACCTCAGCCAGCCATTTCATAGTAAATCTGAGGAAAATGAAAATTTATATATATATGTCATTCTAAAAGAAAACTTGTCAGCAACTATATGGTATTTTATTGATTCCAATCAAATGAATGTAATTTCAATGGATCATGATACCTGAAATTGATGAAGCAATGAAATTAAACTAAAGGGGAAGCCTAGGAAGACCGATGAGGTATCATGGATAATGGATGCTAGAGAGTGGGGATATTTTTATAATTCACCTTTTTTTCATTAATAAGTCAATACCAGATCTATACATCAAAATGAAAATGCCCGGTTAAAAGATTACACAGGGCCAGTAAGGTGGCTCATGCCTGTAATCCTGCACTCTGAGAGGCTGAGCCAGGTGGATTGCCTTAGCTCACAGGTTCCAGACCAAGAGCCAGAACAAGACCCCCTTCTCTAAAAATAATCAGGCATTGTGACTGGCACCTGTAGTCCCAGTTACTTGGGAGGGTGAAGCAAGAGAATCTCTTGAGCCCGGGAGTTTGAGGTTGCTGTGACCTATGATGGCACAGCACATCACTCTACCAGGGGCAACAAAGTGAGACTCTGTCTCAAAAAAAGAAAAAAAAAAAAAACATTACATAGGGCCTTTGATGACTTCAAGAACTATTAGTGCATAAAGGCGTAAAAGAATCTAGAAACTAACAAATGCCTAGTTAAAACAATTTTAATTATTTTAATGATTAACAGCATGAAGATGAACAGTCTTAATACAAAATGGCATCAATGGTCCTGGCTAGTAAAAGAAAAGATGCAATTGAACAGAAAAGGATTAAAGTTTATATACTGTTTTATCTGGGGAAATTCAATTACTGAAAAGCAAAAGAGCAAATGGATTAATAGGAGGCTTTAGCAGTATTTGATGCCTTGGTCAATACAAGTGGAGTAAGGAGTGATGGAAATCCTGCTAAATTTATAAAATCTTCATAAACAGAGAGAATTTTGGAAAATAGTAAGTTGATTTTGACATGGGACTGCCATATTATATTAGAGCCTATCTCTTCCATAGTGCCATTTTATTTTATTATTTGTTTATTTATTTACTTTGAGACAAAGTCTCACTTCATCCCCTGAGTAGACAGCCATGGCATCATAGCTTACAGCAACCTCAAACTCTTGGGCTCAAGTGATTCTTTTGCCTTATTCTCCCCAGAAGCAGGCACTACAGACATCTGCCACAATGCCCAGCTATTTTTAGCAACAAGGCTGGTCACCTCTTGCTCAGGCTGGTCTCGAGCTTCTGAGCTCAAGCAATCTGGCCACCTCAGCCTCCCAGAGTCCTGGGATTACAGGCATGAGCCACCAAACCTGGCCCATAGTGCTATTAAAAAAAAAAAAAAATCTTTGAACAAAATGGGGTAGACCACTTCTTAACTCTTTCATCCCTGTAAGTAATTGCCTATGGAAAGAATATTATTTCCAGTGGATTCTAAGGTTGCTTAGAAGATGCACAGCAGGATTAAGCAGATAATTGAATCCCAAGCCTTTGTCTTCATGCAAAGAGTCCAAATAATTGAAGCTCGATGAATTATCTAGATTCATTATCTTGTTTATCTACTTCACTTTCATAATTGTAGATTAAAATTCAACTCAACATTTGTTAAATAGCACTTGCCTCCACAATCTTCTGTATGCTGCTCTAGTCACTCTTCCTGACACCAGGGCAGTGTGTGCATCATTAATTGTGTCCTATAGATAAGGAGGCTCGGGTTCAGAAAGGTTTATTACTGACGACGGAGTTGGATTTGAACCCACATCCCCTTATTTAAGCCTGCCAAAATTTCCTTTAAACCACATGGTTAAATGGATGGTAAAAGGAAATTCAAACATGCATGTGAAAGCTGTGCATTCTAGGTAAACACCCCCAACCAAAGAATGAATGAGTTTGTTCTGGGAAACTCTCCCTGAGCACGTCTTAAACATTGCTGAGAAGCCTGTCATCACCCACACTTGGAGCAGAGCAGAAGTAAGCTTACATCGACATCCTCAGTTACCTGTCACTTTCTCTGGAAACTATTTATTCTTTCCTACCTGACTTTTAGAAATAGAGAAAATGTTATGACATTAGATGGTCACCAGTTAAAAGGTGACTCACGATTTATCTAAGGAATATAGAGAAGCTTTTTCAGAAGACCACACTTCCCTTTGCCAGTGTTATAGATAAACATTTTATTTTACACATAGAAGATCAAAACTCTGAAAGGGAACAAACAACATTTTAAAATTCCATTGCCTGACCAGGGGGAGTGGGGGGGGTGGGGGACTGTATCCAAAGATCTTATTCCCTTGGCACTTACTGTTTTTTTATTCACAGAGAAAAGAATGCATAAGATTGAAAATACGCAAGGAAGCAGGAGGTGGAGAGGGCCAGTGTGGAGTAGCTATTGTCTATATAAGAGCAGATGGCTCTTGGTGGTAAGAATACCAATTGCATTCCAGCAGTGTGTGACTTAGTAGAACCAAAATAAATGACATATTGGTCCAGAGAGAAAATTATTCCAAGTCTAAGCCAGCCAGAGAAATGACGAGCTACAGCCTGTGTTCAAGGAGACTCAGCTTTTGTTTGCTTCTCCTCTTAGTTTCACTCTGTGCCTCACACCTGCAGCCTTCTGCACTTTCAACAATGAAATGAGTTTCTTTCTTTCTTTTCTTTTTTTCAGAGATCTAGATTTTATTAGATCCATAAACAAAAACAATTTTAAAAAGCTGTCATAATATAAAATAGCAGCTCCCAGGAACTTCTTCAAGTTTCATCTTCAGAAGTTGACTCAATTCAGTTTGCCTCATTCTTGGAAGCCTCATCAAAATTCTCCACAAGATCTGGAACTTCATCATCATCATCCTCTCCAGTAGCAAGTGGTGCTTTTCCATCCACAGATTGTTTAGGCAGAGCTTCAGCCAGCCTCCTCAAGCTAGTCAGACTGTCTGCACCGAGCTGGTTTAAGATGCTGGGTAGCATTTCTGTCAGCTGCTTTGTCTCAGCATGGCCTGTAATGGTGAAAGTGTTTGCTGCCAGAGATGCCTGAACTTTAGGGTTGTTAAAGTGGATCACTGTTCCTTGGTTTGTAAACATATTCACCTCTTCAATACCAGAGATATTGTTTACCCCTAACTTCTTTAAGGAGAACTGAAGTTT